TGTGTTAATGTGTTCATTTTGGTTCTTTCTTCTTTTTGGATGTGCACATTTATCTCAATAAATTATCCTCTCAGCATTGCTTTCCCCATGTCCCAAAGATTTTGGTATGTTGTGTTTTACTTTGTGAATTCATGTTTAATTTCTTCTTTTACCCAGTCACTTTTCAGCAGTGTGTTATTCAGTTTCCATGTATTCAACTTTATTTCCTTGGTCATCTTATTGTTGATTTCTAGTTTTACAGCATTGTGGTCTGAAAAAAGTGCTTTGTAGTATTTGGATGTTTGTAAATTTATGGAGGCTTGCTCTGTGACCTAACAAATGCTCAATTCTGGAGAATGTTCCATGTGCACTGGAGAAGAATGTATATTGTGCTCTTGTTTGGTTGAATGCTCTGTACACATCAATGAGGTCAAGTTGGTTGATTGTGTTGTTTGGTTCCTCTGTAACTTTGTCGAGTTTTTTCTTATTGTTCTGACCATTTTCAAAAGTGGCATATTAAAATCTCCCACTATAATTTTAGACTTATGTATTTCTTTATTCAATTCTAGTAAGGTTTGCTTCATATATCTTGGTGCTCTTTCACTGGGAGTGTAGATATTTATTATAGTTATGTCGTCTTGCTCAATTGATCCTTTGATCATGAGATAGTATCCTTCTTTATCTCTTATGCTGGTTTTTGTCTTAAAGTTTACTTTATTGAATATTAGTAATGCCTTTTAATGCTTAAATGGATGTAGGTTGCTGTGTTATTCAGCCTAATGGGTGTCTCCTGGTGGGTATGGTCAGGAGATAGGCTTTCCTTTTCCCATTAGAAGCTGTTATTGGTTCTTGTCTCAATGGTGGAATATTATGGGGTATGCTTGTACCTAGCTATATGGCCACGATTGCTGTCTCTTCTTGGGTAACGTAGGGAGACAAAGCTCCCACCTCCAGGAAAAATGTGTGATCAAAAGGCCCAAAAGCAGAAGCAATATAAGAGCAGAGACAAAAACCACCTCTTTGAAACAAAAATAAAACTTTGGCTGTCTGGCCAGTCGCCTTGCCACACAGGCAATGTGTGTGCACCGTAGGAGCCTCCAGCAGTAGGTGGGGGTGTCTAATCGCTCAGGCCCCTCCCTCTAGTCACCACCATAGAGGTGTGCAGATAGATATTAAGAAGTTAATGGGAGAAAGATTGTGAACTATTTTTGTCTCTGAAGGTCAGTTAGGTATCTGTGTGCGCACAGTGTAATTCTTGAAATAGTTGCATCTTTTTATGTTGGGGTTTTACAGACTGTTCATATGGTTTGCCTTTCAGCCAAACCTGCTTTTTTTCTTGCTGTATACACAGGAGTAAAATGTCCCACACAAGTTAACTTTAGGGCTGGGACCCACAGAAGTCTAAAGCAGCAGCCAAAGAATTTATCAAATGCCTTTTCTGCATCAATTGATATGGTCATGTGGTTCTTTTCCTTTTTCTTATTTATATGGTAGATTATGTTGATTGTTTTTCTATTGTTGAACCATCCTTGCATCCTCTTTCCATTTTCTTTTGATGCTTCTTGCATCGTTCAGTATTTTGCCCACATTGTTCTTAAGTGCTCTCAAGTCAGTTCTGACTCACAGCGAACCTGTACAGGGTTTCCAAGGAGTAGCTATGTTTGAACGACCAACCTGTGATTAGCAGTCCAGTGCTGATCCTACACCACACCAGGGCTCCATTTTGCCCACTGTTAAGTTGTTAAGTGCCATCAAGTCGGTCCCAACTCATAGTGACCCTCTATAGGGTTTCCAAGAAGTAACTGGCGAGTCTGTACCGCTGATCCAGTGGTTCAAAGAGATTCTGCAGTCCAACGCTTATCTTACAATGCCACACCAAGACTCCCCATAAAATTCTTCAAAACTGTAACTCAACATTCCTTCTACCTAATCTGCTCTTAGTCTAGAAGCGCTGCTGGAACCTGTGCACCATGGGTGACCCTGCTGGTATTTGAAATACTTGTGGCATGGCTTCCAGAATCACAGCAACACACAAACCACAACAAGTAGGACAAACTGACAGATATGTGACATCTACGCAATTGTGCTGAGCAAAGATAAATGGAAGAGCTTAACTGTAGGAGAAAGCACTTGCCATATTAGAAAATTTAGGGTTTGTTTTTTCATTTCCTAAATTCTGAATTAACAATGGTGGTAGTGGTGGTTATGTGCCATAGAGTCAGTTCCAACTTATAGTTACCCTGTACAGGGTTTCCAAGGCTGTAAAATCTTTACGGGAGCAGTAAGCCTCATCCTTCCCCTGCAGAACCACTGGTAATTCTGAACTGCTGACCATGAGATTAGCAGCCCGATTCATAACCACTTTGCTATCTGAGCTCCTCTGAATAACAATACTAGCTCCTAGTACAAAACTTACAAAACATGTGATTTCAGTTGAAAATGGAAACTAATATGGGACCAAACTTTTTTATAATTTCTAGAATGTAGTCAGTAGCTAGGTTAAGGACAGAAGATAAAGATGACTGGGTTTGGGCTAAACTCATGAGAGTGTGTATCAGAGCTAGAGCTTAGGTCTGGCTTCCAAATCAAATAAAACTAGTGATGGGAGAAGAAACAAAGGATCAACCCTTCCAATCCATGACTAGGTACAAGCCAACAGCAAGCTGACTTTGCTAATTGAAATGTGAAACAAATGCATAAATGACAGACATCATTTATTTACCCATAAGCCATTCCAACAGTAAAACAAGCAAGGAACTTCATGGAACTGAAGCAAAGCCAAATCATTACTTGCCTTTAAATTTGTGATTGTTGTTTTGCTTTTCTCCATTTGAATAATGAACTTGGCTTCTAAGTCCTTTTCCCTGCAACAGAAATAATTCAGTATTTGTTAGAAAGGAGAAAAGATGGTTTAAAAACATGGCTTTCTTTACTTTTTAAAGTGAGAATTAGCTTTTAATTGTCATCTTAAAAACAACCCCTAATAAACAAAACCAAAAGCCAAATGCACTGGCATTGAGTTGATTCTGACACATACGGACCCTTCTAAATTCTTATAAACAAGAAGACACAAAACAGATGACACTATCAAAAAACTATGACTGTCAAGAAAAGGTTTTCACATTTAAAGAAACATTCTTTGATGGTTACCAGGGCTAAGGGGAAAAGGGGGTGAAATTCACTGGTTAGAGGACAGATGTGAGTTAAGGAGTGAGGGGGAAGGCAATATATTTAAAAAGGAAATTGGCAAACGATAAACGCAGGAAGACTAAGAGAAGAGTGCAAAGTTAAAGGCAACAGAAGTAAATATTGTTATATACTCAATCTTAAAGGTATATACATAAATAGACATGCATGCTGAACAGGTATGGCAGGGGCAGTCGGGAGTGTACCCACACATACATAGGCTTGACAGAGGATATCTGTACATGGGTATTTACCTTTGCTGTAAATACACCCATCAGTATGGTGGATCATGCAGTCAAAAGCTATGAAATTTTCTTAGACATTAATAAGCACCTTGAGGGAATGAATTCCTGGGCTTGGTGGGTTCAGTATCAGGAAACATGACAGTCAAGTGGCATAACATAGTCCACGAAGAAAATGTTCTAAATCCTATCATAGAGGCTGGTGGGTTCCAACCACCAGCTTTTTGGTTAGCCAATGAGCACTTAACTCCTTCAACACCCAATTAAGTTTACAAAAAGACTATGACTGGCTCTCTTGTGTTCTCGCAGAGCTCTCCTGAATAAGTGAGACACAGGCTGCCTTGTGGTGAGCAACCCTATGGATAGACCCATATGCATAGTACTGAGGTCAGTGGTCACATGAGGGGGCTTGAAAGTCGATTCTCTCATACATTAAGAAGACTGCAGTGCAGACCAGTACCTTGTGAAAGACTCACAGGACCCAGCTATGCTTCACCCAGATTCCTGAACCACAGACACAGATAATATTTGATTCTTTATAGACCATAAAAAAAAATTTAAGTTTTTATTGCCAATTGAGTGATAGTTTACATGGGTTTTACACTCATCAACATCAGTTTTACATTCATTATTTCATTGCAATGATTACAACCCCTCCATGCATCATCATTCAAATGTATTTACTTTATTCCTTCTTTTTTGTTTGTTTGTGTTGGGGGGCTGTGCACAAAAGCACTCAAGATTAGATAATAATTTAAACAACCAAAGGGTCATTCTGCAAGCCCGACTCCTGGCCGCCAGCACTCAGTCTTTCTCTTTCCATAAGTCTAGAGTCCTCAGCTGCTCCCTCTTTCTATGTCATCATGTCTACACCTCCATCTCTGGTATTACTGCTTCTCTGGATAGGGTCCTACAATCTCTTTTGATGGTCCTATGGTCCTGTCCCCTGTTCCTATAAGTCCATAAATTTTAAGGTTACAGTGACACAAAACTAATAAACTAAAAAGGATTCAGAAATCAACCTGAATAAATTCGGCTTTCAACTCCTGTATAGATTTACAGCCTCAGAAACCCTATACAGGTTGCTAATGGTTCGAACTTAACTTGATAGCACTGAATCTGAGTTGGCCAAAGTTAAGAAATGTAGCACCTAAAAGGGTAATAACTAGAAGAGCCTGGTACTTAAAACATGGTGTTGTAGACTAAATTGTTATTGCTTGTTGTTAACTGCTGTTGAGAGAGTTCTGACTCATAGTGATCCTACATTGGGTTCCCAAGGAGTGGCTAGCGAGTCTGAACTGCTGTGCTGACCTTATTGTTTAAACCGACCTTGCAGTCCAGTGCTTTATCTCATAGCTCCACATCCCCTTAAAGTATCTGTTGAAGTTTTAACCCCAGTACTTGAAAGAACGGTTGTTAGCCTACCACTACCTCCTAGGCCAAACGGCCACTACTCGTCTATGGGAGAAAAGCCCATAGAACCTTCTTTTGCTGATGGGGCACAACTCAAAATGAAGAGAAAAAGCGGTAAACATCCACTGAAAATCGGAACATGGAATGTACGAAGTATGAATCTGGAAAACTGGAAGTTGTCAAAAATGAAATGAATCTCATAAACATCGATATCTTAGGCATTAGTGAGCTGAAATGGACTGGTATTGGCCATTTTGAATCTGACAACCACATGGTTTACTATGCCAGGAATGACAAATTAAAAAGGAATGGTGTTGCATTCATCTTCAGAAAGAACATATCCAGGTCAGTCATGAGGCACAATGCTGTATGTGATAGGGTAATATCCATGTGCCCACAGGGAAGCCCAGTTAATACCACTATCATTCAAATTTATGCACCAACCACTAAAGCCAGTGAAGATGAAAAAGAAGAATTCTACCAACTTCTTCAATCTGAAATTGATCAAACATGCAATCAAGGTATATTGCTCATTATTGGTGATTGGAATGCAAAGGTCAGGAGCAAATGGGAAGGACCAGTAGTTGGAAAATAAGGCCTTGGTGAGAGAAATGATGCTTGAGAACGCATGACAGAATTCTGCAAAACCAATGATTTGTTCATTTCAAATACTTTCTTTAGACAGCATAACAGACATGGACCTCATCAAATTGACTACATCTGTGGAACGAGAAGATGGAAAAGCTCCATATCATCAGTGAAAACAAGGCCAGGGGCAGACTGTGGAACATACCATCAAATACTCATATGCAAATTTAAACTAAAATCGAAGAAAATTAAAACAAGTCTACAAGAGCCAAAATATGACCTCAAATATATCCCCCTTGAATTTAGAGATCATCCGAAGAACAGATTTGATACATTAAACACTAAAGACTGAAAACCAGAAGAGTTGTGGGATGATATCAAGAACATCATACGTAAAGAAAGCAAAAATCATTAAGAAGACAAGAAAGAAGGAAAAGGTCAAAACGGATGTCAGAAGAGACTCTGAAACTTGGTCTCCAGCATAGAGATGTTAAAGCAAATGGAAGAAATGAGGAGGCCCACAAACTAAACAGAAAATTTCAAAGATCAGCTCAAGAAGATAAAGCCAAATACTATAATAAAATGTGCAACAATCTGGAATCAGAAAACCAAAAAGGAAGAACACACTCAGCATTTCTCAAGCTGGGGGAACTGAAGAAAAAATTCAAGCCACAACTTTCTTTATTGAACGATCCTCTGGGCAAATTATTGAATGATGCAGAAAGCATCAAGAGAAGATGGAAGGAATACAGTCACTGTACCAAAAGGAAATGGTTAATGTTCAACCATTTCAAGAGGTACCATGTGATCAAGAGCCAATGATACTTAGGGAGAAAGTCCAAGGTGCATTGAAAGAATTGGCAAAGAACAAGGCACCAGGAATTGACGGAATCAAAACTGAAATCTTTCAAGAAAGTGAGGCGGCACAGGAGGCACTAACTCATCTCTGCCAAGAAATTTGGAAGACAACAATCTGGCTGACTGATTGGAAGAGATCCATATTTGTGCCCATTCCAAAGAGAGGGGACCCAACGGAATACGGAAATCATCAGACAATCTCTTTGATACCTCAAGCGAGTAAAGTTTTGCTAAAGGTAATACAGAAATGGCTACAACCATATATTGACAGAGAACTTCCAGAGGTTCAAGCCGGATTCAGAAGAGGACGTGGAACAAGAAATATCATTGCTGATGTCTGATGGATCTTGGCTGAAAGCAGAGAATATCAGAAAGATGTTTACCTATGCTGTATTGACTATGCAAAGGCTTTTGATTGTGTGGATCATGACAAGCTATGGACAACATTGCAAAGTATAAGTATTCGGGAACACTTCGTTGTACTCATGAGGATCTGTACCTGGACCAAGAAGCAGTTGTTCGAACAGAACATGGGAACACTGAATGTTTTAAAATTAAGAAAGGTGTGCGACAAGACTGTATTCTTTCACCATACTTATTCAACCTGTATGCTGAGCAAACAATACGAAAAGCTGGGTTCTATGAAGTAAAACACGGCATCAGGATTGGAGGAAGACTCAGTAACAACCTGCGATATGCAGATATTACAACCTTGCTTGCTGAAAATGAAGAGGACTTAAAAACATTTACTGATGAAGATCAAAGAGCACAGCCTTTGGTATGGATTACATCTCAATGTCAAGAAAACAGAAATCCTCACCACTGGACCAATAAACAACATTCTTATCAATGGAGAGAAGAATGAAGTTCTCAAGGACTTCATTCTTCTTGCATCAACTATCAACACTCACTGAAGCTGCAGTCAAGAAATCAAACAACATATTGCTGCACAACACCTTTTTAAAGTGTTGAAGAGCACAGATGTCAGCTTGAGGACTAAGATGCGCCTGATCCAAGCCATGGTATTTTCAATAACCTCATATGCATGCGAAAGCTGCATAGTGAATAAGGAAGATCATAGAAGAATTGATGCTTTTGAGTTATGGTGATGGAGGAGAATACTAAATGTGCCATGGGCTGCCCACAGAACCAAGAGATCCGTTTTGGAAGAAGTGCAGCCAGAGTGCTCCTTAGAGAGGCCAAGATGGCCAAACTTCGTCTCTCATACTTTGGACATATTGTCAGGAGGGAACAGTCACTGGAGAAGGAGATCATGTTTGGTAAGATGGAGGGTCAGAGAAAAAGAGGAAGACCCCCAACGAGATGAACTGGCCAGGTGGCAACATCAATGGACTCGATGGCACCTAACAACAACAAGAACAACAACTTGTAAGAACGACACTGACTCAAAGACAGGTTTGGAATTGATTTTGTAAAGATTGTTGCTGTTGTTAAGTGCTGTCAAGTCAGTTATGACTCAAGGGTCCTATGCACAACAGAAGGAAACACTTTCAGGACCTGCTCCGTCCTTACAATTGTTATATGTAAGGCCTACTGTAGTTGCCACTGTGTCAGTT